AAGCCTGGACTTCAACTCCTCTCAGATGGCCCTTTGCGCAATCCTGTCAGCTTTCCTCCCTCAGCTCTGTCTGGGCTCAAAGACAGCACGCACGCACTCACGCACCCTCGCGCCCACGCACGTGGGACTCCCTGCTGGGACTAATCGCAGTCTCTCAGCCCTGAGACAACACCCAGACGTCCATCCTCAGGTTAAAGGAGGGGCGGCTTTAGAGGGCTGGCATGAAGCTCAAGGGTGCAGGGCTCGCCTGTTGAGTTCTGAAGTCCAGGGCTCAACCCCCAGCCCTGCAAAGATCGAAAACAAAGAAAGGCGTGGGGGTCTAGGCTAAGGTCAGCAGGCTGGGAAGCAGGAAGGCTCCAAGGCAGGGTCCGTGGAGGACAGCTGTTGCCTCAGGTGCTCCACAGGCTCCAGTCTGTCCTGCCACCTGACTGCGGTCACCTTGCAAAAGCCCTGCCTGGCAAGTGTGAAGTCGTGAGTTGAATTCCTGGTACCAGACACACAAAGCAGGTGGGGCTGGGGTGGTGGCACCTGCCTGCGATCCCAGCACTTGGGGGGCTGAGGCCGGAGGACCGCTGTGAGTTCAGGACCCAGCCTGGGGTACAAAGTGAGCTCAAGGCCAGCCTGAATTGCATAGTGAAGCCTGGACTCAAAAAGAAAAAAAAAAAAAATCAGAAGTTGCTCTTTGGAGACTTACAATGTGTAACAAATTCACCCAAACCACATGATAGAAAGCCACTGGCTGAGGCGGCTGCACTGAGGATGGCCTGCCATCCTGGTCTTCTAAACATGTACTTCTTGGCATGACATACCATTTATTGCCATAATGTCTCTCAAGTAAAGGTGTTTGTTTTTTTTGTAGGGTAATAAATGAAAAAAAACCCCACAAGAATAAGAAAAAAAAAATGTCACAGGTCTGTCCTGTAACAATTCTGTATATGGTTAGATTTCTAAATTTCTTTGTAAAAATATGTAAAGGCTTATTTCTAGTTTTTAAAAATTATTTTCCTTCATATTCTGTATGGACTTAAAGTTCAACATATCAATATTTGATGGAAAATACCTGTTCCATGATATGCCAAAGATGTTTGATACTTAGACAGATAGGGTAAACCGAACTGCATATATTCCTGGTTAATTATAAGCTTCTCTTCCGGAGGGTTAACAACCTAAGTTAGCAGATCAAAATTGGAGAAAAGGAAGGCTGCAAGGTCAGCCAACATTTTGGCCCTAGCCTTTCAAGGTCAGTGAAGACTCGGGATATAGGAGAACCTGTAATGTAACATCATGTAACTCAGTTGTCTCCAAATTTTCTGATCAAGGAGATTATGGAGCCACAGAGGAATGTGATCGGTGATGTAGTGTGTGCCTGGGGAGAGTCACATGGAGAGAAAACATTCTCTCAGGCTTTCACAGAGAACAAACTGGTCAAGCAATGGCCGTGACTCATCCTCATGGCTGACACTGACGAAGGATGTACATAGTGCAGTACAGGGCTACAGGATAAATCCTGAGGGTACTTGACTGACCTTATCAGATACAAAAGTTACATTTCTTGTTATATAGGTTTTGCTTTATCTTGGTCTTAACTATCCAGCAGAAAAGTATAAAAACGAGGTATATAAAGTAAAGCCATATTAATACGATGAGCTGTAAAAGGCTCAAGTCAATAACTTCTGAGGATGACCCACTAATATTATAAACTGCTGGACAGTGTTGGATTGTTTAGCTGAATTCAAGCACCTATAGAATTTAGATGCCAATAGAATATCCACTTCTGACAGGACTAAACAAAAAAAAGGGGGATACAAAGGAAAGATCATTTTGCATTTATATATACAAAATAGTTAGGATAGACATATAGCTACTTTCACTTACTTAAATGAGAAGAAAGAGGTGTACTAATAGTGTGTGGACAGAATATCCTGTCTGCTTCTTGTGCTATGGATAACCACTAAGAAGATAACAATGTACAATGTATTGATTATCAAAACTGTCCTATTAATCAGCTTTGAAACTGTCTCATTCATATTTGTTTCTCAATAAAATTAAAATTAATAATAAAAAAAGAAAGCCACTGGCTAAGTGAGAGATTCAGGGAGGAATGAGTTTGTTGGAAATAAGAGGGAATAGAAGAAAAGTGGTTCCACCATAAGAACTTCACTGGACATCTTCGGTATTCGCGCTTGCCATCTATCCCACGTAATCCTCTCCTCCTTTGGTCTTCCCATGATCTGAATGTGGAAACTGAGATTTTGTGTAACCCCAAATGGTGCTGGCGGGGAGTCGTGCAGCAGAGTGGCGGGGTGCTAGTCTAGGGAGCGTGCAAGGCCTTGGGATATTCCTTATCACACAGGGAAAAGAAAGACACACAGTGACAACAACAAGAAGCTACTGTGGGGGATGGCCGGCTGGTGGTCACCGCGTAAGCCCCAGTGCAGCTAAGCCCGCCATGCTGGGTGTTGCAGGCCACCTGAGGGTGGGAGCCGGCAGCAGGAGGCCCAACTGGGGAAGAAGGAGAAGCTGCCAGGCGGCTGTCTTTCTCCTAGAGTTGCTTGTCACGCAGGCTTTCCTGATGAACTGGCAGCTCTCGTCGCCGGAGGAGCTTGGACCTCACTGTTGCTGAGGACAGCTGTGGTACTTTGAGGAGCTCTGGTGCTTACGCTGAGCGTTGCGTCCTGGCTCCAGCTCAGTCCCCTCAGCCTGCTGCTAGCGCAGATCCTCCATCCCGCCGGTCCGGACTTTGTAGCTTCCACCTGAGGCGCTGGGCCTTCCCAGGGCAGACCCGTGAAGCGGGCCTGCATGACACTGCTGTGGGCTCTCCGACTGGACTCGAGAGAGGCACTGTTCTCAGCTCGAGGTCTTCCGCTGGACTCCTGCTATGGGCCTCGGATGTTTTGGTGTCTAGCGTGTGGACAGAGGTGCTGCATTCCTTGTGTATGATTCTTTGGTTGATGCATTCTACAGTGACCTTATAAAATCTGTCCTGCATCATACTGCTTCCCCTTGCAAAGCCACGACTAGACGTGTACCTTGTCCAGGTTCACATATTCAGTAAGTTGCAGAGTCAGAAGCAGAGAATACTTTATTCTTAGCCTGGATATCCCAAGCCTCTGTTGCTGTATGCAAACTCTTTTACAATTGATATCATAAAGAAAAAAAATATAATGGAATTTTGACTTGAATTTTTAAGATATATTACTGAAATTACATCAACACCATTTCTGGGTGAAGCAAAAAACAAAAGAACAAAAAGTCAAACCTAAATTGTCAGCTATCTGAAACTTGAACGGGGTCTCACTGCGCAGCTCAGCCTGGCCTCATGCAGGCCCTGATTCTCCTGCCTCAGCCTCCCACGCGCTGCGATCACAGGTATGCTCCACCACGCACGGCATTATCTAAAACTTTCTGGAATTGCCTGTTACGCGTGTCACAGGCGTCACAAGCTCAAGGTCATTCAGGGGAAATCAGCGAACTTTGCTTAATTCAGTTTCCCCAAACCTACTTGAATCTGGAATCACCTTAAACGGAAACCTCGTTTAGTGAAACATCAAAGTCTTATCTCCTAGAGCACTCCTGGAGAGGCAGGAAAATGGCAGTGAGTTCGAGGCCAGCCTCCTCGTCTGTACAGAGAGGATGAACTGTTGAAGATCCGTGCACTTGAGCTCAATCAGCCCATCAATCAATTCCTGCGCACCACACCGCTGTGGGCCTTGGTGTGCTCGGTAGTGCCTCGGGCTGTTTGGGGTAGAGGAAAGAAAAGCTGAGGAAAGCGGAGACTCTGAATCCACAGGGAACCTCAGCAGCACCAAGAGACAGCCGTGAAGAGCTCACCCCAGGACTGCAGCTGCTGTGCCTTACACTAAAATAGTTTAATAGAAGGCCTGAGAGATAGCTGGGCAGTCTAAGCGCCTGCCTGGCAGTGCACGGCCCTGTGCCGGCCCCGCGCCATGCCAGCCACTGAAACCAGGTGTGGTGGCTGGCACCTGTAATCCCAGTGCTAGGGAGCCTGAGAGAGGCAGATGACTAGGAGTCGGAGCTATGTAGTGAGACCCTGTACCAGATATCTGTCTGTCTGCCTGTCTATCTGTTAATGGAAGTGTTTTGGTGAGTGCTAGGCTGAGTAAGCACCATTCCAACGGAAGATTTCTGAGTTGGAGAAATCAGGAAAGTGGTTTTCATTGTTGTTTTGTTTTTTGAGACAGAGTCTCGCTATGTAGTTGAGGCTGGCCTTACACTCACTACGTAGCCTAGGCTGGTCTTGAACTTGCTGCAGTCCTCCTGCCTCTGCCTCCCTAGTGCTTCTGCCTACCATGCTGGATTTAGGAAAGAGTTTTTTGAAGCCAGTATGCAGTTTGGAGTTTAATTGTGTGTGCATGCCTGTGTGTGTGTGCATGCCTGTGTGTGTGTGTTTGTGTTTGTGTGTGTGCTTATGTGTGTTGCTAGTGACTGAACCCAGGGCCTTCACATACCTCCGGTTCTTTTTAATGTTGTTTGGTTTGTTTGCAGGTTCATTTGGTTTTTCAAGACAGGGTGCTGCTATGTAGCCCAGGCTGGCCTTGAACTCACTTCCTGACTCAGTCTCCTGCCTGCTAGGGCTGCAGCCATGTGCCACCATGGCTCAATCTTTTCAACTGTCTATCTCGAGAAGTCTTGCTAAATGTTAAATTGCTCAGGCGAGGCTTTCACTTGCCATCCTCCTGGTGTGTCTTGCCCACGCTGGGGTTACTGATGTGGGCCACCATGAGTTAGTTGAAGGCTAGCCTGGACGAAATATAGTTCAAGGCCAGCTTAAACTACATAGCAAAACCGTGTCTCAGAAAAAAAAATGACCCCTCACCACTCCCCCCCAAAAAAAACCACGGCTGGGTCTACAGTTGAGTGTGAGGTGTGTGGGTTCAATTGCCAGTACCGCGAGTGAGCACAAGCGCGCAGACCCACCCAACTGGGCCCAAACCAGCCTAACTGCAGATTAGGAAAGCGGAGTCCTGGGCGCGTCCTGAATGATTGGCGTGGGGGCTGGCAAATCGGGCGAGGCCGCTCCTCCCATTGGTAGGTCCCGCCGGCCAATGCCTCGCAACCTGTCTGGGTTGCAGGTTGGCGGACGAACGGTCCTGTGGCCCGGCCTCGGCGCCTTCGCTCTCCTCCGCCCCGGCCTCGGCTCTCGGCGCTCAGCTCCGAGCCCGCCCGCGAGGACCCCGCAGCCCCGCAGAGTCCCGGACGCGTGCCTGCCGGCGCGGGCGTGGCCCCGGCGCTGTGCTTGCACCGGTAAGTTTCTCCGGCGGGTCGGACCGCGCGAGTCCGCGCTCGGCGTCGCTGGCCCGGGTGGCC